AGCAGAAAGTTTAATAGAAAGGCCATCCCCCGTAGTGTTTGTGGAGGATCTGTCCAAAGAAGATAAACAGAGATTACACGCAAAAGAAAATATCCTTTTTGAAGACCAGGGAATTGTGAATTTAGGAAACACCTGCTACTTCAACGCAGTATTGCAATTCTTAACATCCTTTGATGATTTAGGGGCTTTCCTTTGCAGCATAAAAAGAAAGGAAAAACATTTATTGAAATCCACAAAGGATATTTTATTCGATTCATATATTCACTTTTCTCAAACGTTTGGAAAATCCCCCGAGCCATATGTCCCTCTGGAATTGTTAAAATCCTTTAGGGATGTCTTCCCCAAATTTAGAACTGTAAATTTAAGGACGAAACAATTTGCACAGCAGGACGCAGAAGAATGCATGAGCGCCATTCTTACGTCATTAAATGACCAGACCGAGTGTAAAATTAGCGATACGTTGTTTTCGTTTAAGGTGATCAGCAAGGTTAGGTGCATAGAGGACGATGCTCCTGGGGAGCAGAAACCAACTGGGGAGAACTCCTCAGGGGATAACGCACCAAAAGAAAATCCACCCAGTGCAGCCGCAGGAGAGGAAGTAGAGACAACAGAAGAGTTCCACAATAAACTAATTTGCTACATGGGAACACACACCACCCCTGTGAACCACATGCATGAAGGAATACGACTATCCCTGATTGAGAAAATCCAAAAGCAGCGATCTGAGGATAGTAAGGAAGATGCCCTTTTTGAAAAAAAATCAGAAATCAACTCCCTCCCACCATATCTAATTGTTCATTTTTTACGTTTCGAATCGAAGAAGATCTCCGAGTCGAATAATGCCATTTCCGTCGTTACTGCCAAAATATGCCGAAAGGTGAGCTTTCCAGAGACGTTTGACATTTATGATTTCTGCTCAGATGAACTGAAGACTCAATTGAAGGTAGCTCGAAATATTATGATGAAGAGGAAAGAAGCGGACTTGAACGCTCGCGGGGCTTCCGAAGGTATTGGAGGAAGCACTGCCATAAGTGCACAGAAAAACGAGGGCGTGAACGATAATAGTGTCAACGACACCACCAACGAATACACGAATGGCGTGACGAGCGATAAGGCAATGGCTGCGGAGCAGATGGATAATGAGGATTGCAGCCCAACGCAAAATTTGACGGAAATCCCCATTGGGGAATATGAACTGATTTCAATAATCACACACAAGGGGAGAAACGAAGAAAGTGGTCATTACATTGCCTGGAAAAAAATGAAGAGCTCCATAGGCGCAGATAGCAGTACGTACAAGGAAGAACTAACGAGTAAGAAAAAAAAAGGAAACGATTCCTTGTGGTATAAGATGGATGATGATAAGGTAAGTACGCATAAATTTTCTTCCCTTGATTTATGTGGAGGGTGCAGTGATTTTAACATAGCTATATTGCTTCTGTATAAGCGAAAGACCCTGTTATGCACACAGAAGGAATTGGACCCGCATGACAACTGAGCGGTGTATTTTTATGTCTATATATGTCATGTGCGCCCAAGGTGTATCCTACGGCCGGTCCTTTCATCACCGCGTCAGGTGTTGTGTGCATTTGCTTTCCTACCTGTGTAATGTTTGACATTACAAAACTGTACCAAAAAATGTGCCCCCCCCCCCTCTTTCTCTCTCTGTATTTATGTGCGCATATGCCTAAACTTCGTGCGTGCTAGTAATCCATTGCCGCTTCCACTGCCGCGTTTCGTTATGGTTGGTGTGTTCATTCCGAGGACACGCAGTTTTAACCTTTTACGCGATGTGCAAAACGTTTAGAAGATTTTTACGGGAAAGTGTAAACTGTTTTGTTAGAAAAGGAAAGAAAAATGTTAAACGTATTCTCTCTCCTTAGTTTTTTTTTATTTTTTAATGCCGTTTTTAATTTTATGAATAATAGCTACTGCCATTTTGCCGCGCTGTTATGTTTGCACCTGGAGATACCTCACCAAATGCGCTTATGCCCTTTTCTCAGTGATGAGCAAAAAGTCGCGAACGTGCACCTTCTCATGGGCAGCAGTTCTTTATGAAAGTGTCTACCCACACGGATGGTCCGCACGAAATATACCAGTAGCCATGCGCGTGTAGACTGGCAACGGTTATTATATTTCTTGTGCAACTTTTAAAAAATTAAATATCGCGGGAAAACGCAAAAAAAATTGCAATGTTACAATGTTGCAAAGTTGCAAAGGCGCGAAGTGGATGCGTCAGAATTAAATTCTCATACAATTCAGATACCTTTCCTTTACAATTGCAAAAAAAAAAAAAAAAAAATCATTTTATTTAAATGTTGCATACACATATTTTTCCCCTCCCCTTTTCTGTTCTTATAACCGTTCCGTCATTATGAGAATAGGGTGAACCATGTATACTTAAATGTTAAACAGTTTAGCGTGAGCGCTTTGTTGAAAGGTATTGCAAAATACAACAGTTCGTTTTGCAACACGGGGTGCGTCTGTGCAGTTTGGGGGAATAAAGAAGGTAGCCAAGTTGCGACCAAATGGTAACAAAGTAGCGACAACGTGGGGACGGCGCAGGAGCAAAACATAAACAAAACATGTCGCAATCAAGCAGGTAGCTGTATGCGTGCGCGCCGCGTCATGTGCGCTTATGCGCGTACATAAAGAGGACGCCGAAAGAGGCAACGCCTTGTCGCCGCCGAGCGTAGAAAAATGCCATCCCGCAAATGATAAAAAACGTATGTTAAAAAAAAAAAAATTGTAAAAAAGTAAACACTTCAACACAAAAACAGTAAAAAAATGAAAACCCTCTAAAACTATATGGCAGTTCTTATAAAAATACATGGCGCAGAAAATCCCTGTAGCAGATTACCATCTCACGTGTACAAGTGAAACCCTATGCATATGTTAATAACCTGCTATGCGTACGTTACGAATTTGTATATATATATGCATATTATACAAATGTAGTACTATCCGTTTTTATGTACAACATTTTTCCCTCTTGCGAAAATAGCGAAGAGAAAGCCGAGAATTTTGAATTGCCTTCAACAAAAAGAAAAAAAAAAAAAAACAATAGTATAATAGTAATAGTAACAGCAAAAGCTACAATAACACTAAGAGTAACAATAGCGCATATCCCCTTTTAACATAATTAAATGATTTACTTATCTTGTTTGTAAAGAAAACATTTCATCATCTGCTATTTGGTTAGTACTCAATCTTCACCCCTTTT